ACGTACACCGTTCTTACCAACGATGCACCCAAGAAGTGGTATTTCGCTTGCTGCAAATATACACTTCTTGAGATTTGCATGCAATTGATGCTTTCGCATGATTGTAAGAACCTGTCGGACGTGGTACCTGTGAACCTCAACGTCCGACTTTCCATACATAGCCCGACTATGGATGAACACGTCATCGAAATAACTCGGCGCAAATTCTCGTACCGGTCTCAACAGATGTGATACACATCTGTTGAATGTGGCAGGGGAATTACTAAGCCCTTGTGGCATTACTAGCCATTCCCAGAGCATGTCGCTAGGCGTGCTAACTGCGGTATGGGGTAAAATCCGTTCTCGCATAAGGATTTGATAGAAGCCATCCATCAAATCCATGGACGAAAAGATGGTACTCTTTGACATACCATCATTGATTACGTCCTTCCTTGGTATCGGCGTCTGAGCCGGTACCGTTGCAGCATTCAACTTGTAAAATGCATGCACAATCCGCCACCCTCATGTTGCTTTTCGCACACAGAAGGTCGGAGAGCTATGTGGGGAAGTTGATTCCCTCACATGGCCCGCAGCTAAACGATCGGCAAAGAACTTGTCGATCGCAATTACTTGTTCACGAGGCAGTGGCCAATGCTTCATGACACAGTACTTTGAGCCTGGTTTAAGCTCGACCTCGTGTCGAATACCTTTATCCTTCGGTAATTCGCACGGAACAGTTTCAGGGAATACATCCTTGAATTCAACCAAATCTTCATAGAGAGGATTTGTCTTGAGCGATTCCCACGATTGGGAGTCATATCGCTCAACTCGTGTCTTTTCATCTAGGACACTCTCGTCCATTGATGAACTACTGAGAACTCTCTCGTTCTCAGTAAACATTTTTGCTGACCTTATTTCGGCTACACAATCGTCGTCAGCGACGAGTACGCAGATCTGCTTGACTTTGCCACTACGCAGATCACGCAAGAACCTTTTATGTTCGAGCGTTGGAAACTGAGTGATCTCCGAAGTCAACTTCGGAGGCGCAATCAGATCAAGTGTATAAGCGCCTACACTTGATCCGTCATTGACTATGACATTCAATGTCTCTGTCATTTCCTGGGGACTTATTCCCTCAGGCCTCGAAGGACTTATTCCTTCGGCTTCCCGGGGACTTATTCCCGCGGGTTTCGGGGAACTTAATTCCGCCGTATTTGTAATATCGGGACTTATTCCCTCAACTTTCTCTAGCTGTGGCTGCGCAACCACAGCGAGATCCTCTACGAAAGACTCTCCAATCGATCTAGGATTATCGTTTCGCTTAACCTGAGCGATCGATTGTTTCTCTTCTAGATGTTCCCCGCTAGGGATACATCTTTGTCCCGGTCCACTCGACTTATTTGAGTGGTGGACCTTCGGCGCAGCCTGTGTTTCCTCACAGCCGCCGGAACTTTGCTCCGAAGTGTAACCGTTTGTTACACTAAGGTTTTGTGCAGTCGTACTAACGACCGTACCACAAGTGAGGCCATCGCACTCACTCGTAGTACATCCACACGCTTGTGGACGCTCCAAAACGTTCATCAGATGGCCATCTGATGAACAAGCGGCAGGCATCGTTACTGTTTGATGTTGCCAGTTTACTCGTGGTTCGTACCTTCTGAGCCACGGTATTCCAAGGGTGACATCAAATTTGTCATCCAAATCCAATACGACAAAGTCATCGTCATATTGGGTATCTTCTAGCGTATAGTGGATCTTCACTATACGCTTCATGACGGTTACGGATGCGCATGTCGCAAGACGTACCGTCATCCTCGTAGGAGGTGTGTCACATTCACTGAACTTAAAGTGACCATCTTCTAGCGATTGGCGTCGCACAAAATTGTTGGACGCCCCACAATCGACTAGAGCTCGAAGGGACAACTTATTTGTCACTTCGAGTTTCAAGGTAATGAGTGAGATCTCATTACCTAGAGCAGCAACCACATATTCATGTGTTGGGAGCAACCTTCGTCAAGAGGCCTACAAATTCTCTTGACGTTGCTGGACCGGTAGGGTGCTCCGCACCTACTGGTCCTGTCCGTTTTTTTACGGTCCATCCCGTTGTTGCGTCTTTGCACCAACAGCGGACCTGCGTCCCTGCCCCTTTCTCATGGGTGGAGGGTCACTATGCCCAGTGTTGCGAGACACTGGACGAGGGGCACTACACTCGTAAGCGTAGTGTCCTGTCTTTTGACATCTGTTGCATTTCTTCAACCTGTTGTAGTCTGTAGAGCGAGCCTTTTCGCTCTCTACATAACAGAGTTTCATCGGCTCTGGACCTCCGTTGTCATATCGTCTCGGTTGACGATATGATGTCGAGCTGGCGCGAGCCTGTCTCAGACTGAAGTCTTCCTGTTCCGCAATGGAAATGGCTTGTTCTAGTGAATCTAGTTCAATTCGGAACAGGTGAGTCACGACGGGACCATCCGCAAGACCCTGCATGAACACCGAAACCAACGTGTGTTCATCCACCGGATTGGAACTGATACAACTCGTGAGATGTCGTATATGTTGTGCGTAAGCGTGCACATCACGCTTACCCTGTTTGAGCTTCAAGAGTTCGGTTCGAGCTTTGAACGCAGCTCCAGGCGGTTCAAACGTTTGCCTGAGCCGTGACTTGAAGACTTCCAACGACCCAAACGCAAATGAGTCGTGCAACTTGAGCCCCAGTGCCCAAGTCTTGGCACGTCCTGCCAGATTTGATTGGGCAAATGCAACTTGCATATCCCCGTCGTCGATGCGACGCGCCCTTGTGGCGTCATCCAATTCGACGAACCATCTTAAGAGGGAGTCCTCTTCGACTCCCCTATACTTAGAGATGTCAATCTTCAAAGTCTCGGGTCGACGCGAGTGCATCGACCCGCCAGCAGCAGCCTGCTGCTGTCTCAACAGTTCAAACCGTTGAGCACCTTGTTCTCTCAACAACTCTGCTTGTTGAGAACCTTGTTGGTGAAGCAAGGCTACTTTCTCGCGTTCAGCGTCAAGTTCATTTTGAATGAACTTGGCGATAGTAGCATGTTGGGCATCTCTATTGAGAGCCTCTAACATGACGCTAACAGCATGGATGCCCATGGTCGAACCCATCCGTTCAACCGCATCCCATTCGACATCGCTCAAATGGGAGTAGCCGTCACGCGTAGCGTGAAAGCTTTGGTCATCTTCATCATCCAACATAATCATGTTAGATGTGAACGTGGTCCTTGGACGGACTACGAAGTGCTACCAGGTGTAACGGGGCACCCTGAAGCTTGTACTGGTGACAGTACAAGCTACTTATTCTGATGACAGAATAAGGCGGTGCCTCGTAACTTCACGTACACTCGTACGTGCAGAGGAAGACGGTAAGAAGAAGCGAGTACTTGGTTAAAGTAAAAAGTAGAACTGTATTTAGCACAGTTAATGTCTGTTAATAAACCACTGTTTGTCCTCATCTAACTATGTCTGAATACAAATGTGTAAATCAACTATCTGCTCACCACTCATTGCGAACGTCTGTCGTGGCGCGTCTTCGTTGGTTGATATAATGGCCTATATCAACCAATAAGGAACTACTCGTAAGTGCTGCAGAATATTTGTCCTTATGACAATATTCTGTGAATATAACTCTTATAGTTACATTCTATTAACAATTTCTAATAAATCGTTAAGTAATGATTCACCCCGTTACATTGGATGGAAGTCTTCCACTTCATCATCCAACATGCTCATAGTCGTTGGGCAGACTATGAAGTGCTACCAGGTGTAACAGTACACCGGTAGATTGTACTGTCGCAGTACAAGCTACTTACACTGAACAAAGAGTAAGGTGGTGTTTTGAGACTTCACGTAAACGTGTCGCGCTGAGAAAGGTTTCAACACGAGAAATGCGTAAAAGCAGAACTGTATCCAAAAAGTCAATCTCGTGTCTATACATCCCAATTGGAGTCTCCATTTAACTTTATCTGAATACAAACATGTTTCGTAACTATCTGCTCACCACCCATTGCGTTCTTCTGTCGTGGCTCGGGCTTCGTTGGTTGACATCGGTAATTTATGTCAACCAATGAACAACGTATAACTTCTGCAACACACTACTACTTATTTAGTCAGTTTTGTGAGGACATTCTGTTTGTCCAAACAGAGTATTCGTACTTGATGTTTACCTCGTGTAAACTATCATGTAATGGAGACAAACTCCCCGTTACGTTCCATGTTTTTCTTAGCGCTAAGAATAGAAGGATGAGCGACGTCATGCCGTGAATGCACTCATACTTCTCCCTTTGGGCTTTAACTTGGCAATAATTCATCAATTGAACGCCCGAACTTCGATACTTTGCCGTAAACTTACTGTGCTTCTCTTAATCGGTGCGACGTCGGCCGTGGTTGCAAGATGGAAGTATACAGCTTCCTATCGAAGAATGCATAATTATCAATGGCGAGGCAACCATCGCCCCACGGTTCTGTAACAAAAGCCATGGCTTGAACGTCTTCCTCGTTCACTTCAACTGCCCATCCGTCAGGCTACAGTCGCCGGTATAAAGCGGAGTAGCAGCCTGTACTCAACTTGCACGTTAACATTTTCAATTTAACCTGGAAATCACCTGCGACTGAGCCCTCCGAAATGTCGGAAGTCGCAAAAATAGCGTTGACAATCTGGACATCAGGGTTGATCTCGGGTTGCGGAATAGCAGTATTGCGTACGGATGAGATATTTTCGGTAAATAACAGTGCAGCGGAAAGCGGTTTGATAAGTAATATGCATCAAAGCTGTACATACGGCGCCATACGCGTGATTATTTATAAACAAATGGGACAGAGTAGTATAGTAAAGCTAAAGCTGGATGAGTGTATCTTAGCAACTCTAGTAGCGCTGCGCATTGCAACACCAAACAACTTGTTGTTTTGCCAGGAATGATACAGCTCCTTACACGGGAGGAACACGCGACATCTTTTTCCATAGACATTTCAGTGTGCTCCATTGTTTGGACAGGCATACATGCTTACATGTCGAAAGGATTAAATGAGTTACTTGTCGCCGGCCGTGATGGATGCTGTGATATAGTCGGACCAGCAAACGCAAGGGTGTCGAAGGGATTCGACGAAGTAAGGGTAGAAGCAGGTGCCTACGATTCATACAACACTGCGTCAGAAATTAAAGGTTTAACAATTCGACGAGGTAACATACCTTTGTCGGGACGCGACTGCTCGAGTCATTGACGATGGTGCTGCTGGTCGTGCTAGAAGGACGAGGCTGTGATAGTACAGACACACTTGGCTTGTACAACGTGTCAGCTGTGACACACAAACATCGTCAGACACGTGGTATCACTCATGATACTTATCACGCAAATTGTTACCGCGCCATGGATCATGAGCCGCCGTCTTCGTCGAAGCAGTGAGTAACGCATTCGATGGCTGGCCCGAAAAGCCCGTGAGATCGTCTTCCAACCATAGAGCAGGTTCGACTGATGGCTGGGCGACAACATGTGCTGGGGGAGCCGTATCTAGTCAAGAAAATACAAGTCAGTCCGGCATCTGAAGAGAACACGAGTCAGTTCCAAACCTCGTTTCATGTGCGCAACAGCTTACCATCCCACAGGTCGATCAGGTCTTTCGTGGGGTCTGCAAGCTGTATTGCTGCAGTTGCTGCTGACTTTGTCTCGCTCTCACTATTCTGGTCGTCGCTACTGAGAATTTTAGTGGCTCGCTGCTGCACGAAGCTCGCAAATGGATCGACCTCCTGTTCGTGCTGCTCCACTGAAACAGCAGACTTGTCCTCAACTTCAAAAATCGAGTCTTTGTTGGCAGAACCCTTGTTTCGGCCAACGTTTTCTATCTTTGATCCGGTGCGTGCGTGCACAAAGTCTGCAAACGAATCGTCATCATCGATCAAATCCTGCGTAGTGGGATTATTTGGCGGGGATGGGTCCATCTTTAGTCCAAATGGATCGACCAAATCGACATCATTAAGAAGTTCTCGCCCGGACTTCGCAGCCGTCTTCTTCTCTTCTGCCTTCTCATTTCGTGCAAGCAGTAGTAAGTCGTACTTTTCTAGTGCTGCATGCAGACCGTCGTTGACGGACAAGTACTTTTCAAGGTGCTGGTGCAACGAACGTAGACAGGAAAGTCAATAGCCTCGTTTTCTACGTGCGACCAGCCAGGAAAAGAACGAAGACTCACCGCATCCTCCTCCGCAAGGGCAATCGGGATAGCACCTTCCATCCTATGCAAGATCTCTCGCACTTCCAAGGCCAATTCTTCCATGACTCCGTGGTTGCCAATACCAGACGTTTGCTTTTGTGCCTCATACAGCATGTCTTCAAACATTTCTGCCACGTTTGTCGCGACGCGGTACAGCTCAGGCGTCGACAGCCCACCCAGTTTACTACTACTGTTGGAATACGACGACGTATCGATCGAGCTCGATTCGCGTGCTGAGTTCGACAAGACTGACCCTGTGTTTGCAGCACCACTTCGACTGCCTGCCAGCCCGTCCGAAGATGACGGCGTCAGGACTGGCACCTTGGACTCGTCGTACTGGTCTGGAAACTTGACGCCTTTCTTGCGCATATTGTGGTACGTGTCAACAAACAGAGGAAACTCATTCTAGCAGCGTCTTCAGAGTCAGCAGAGTACTCTTAGACGACATTGACAAAGCTTCAGTGCAATACACTCACCCGGAACGGCAAGAAAGCTTCACCCCAAGCCTGGATCATGTCCAGCACGCGACTGGCAATCTCCATACTAGCCCGTCCACGTCTGGCTGCATGCACCTACGACCACAACGATAGCAGCCACAGTATCGTCAGTTAAACAGCACTTGTCAATTGTTTGTTCCACCAACAGCGAGATCACGAGAGCGTTTCAGGTGCTCGTCTCTCACTCGATAAAGCGCCTCCATCTCATTCATAAACGGCTCCGACGCAATCTCCTGGTGCACCAAGTCCCCGCAGTTCTTGACGATCGACTCGGTCAATGTCAGTGCCAGAATCACGACTCGGGACGACGAATCGCCTAGCCTTAACTTCAGGTACCGGATCGACTCTTTTAACCTGAGATTGCAATCGACCTCAGTCACTTCATAACCTCGAAGAATTAATACAACCCAGCACAATCCCTGGAATCACCTACACCGCGCGATTTCGAATGTTACTCAGCGCATCAACGACCCGTAAAATCCGATCCCAGTCCTCGTCTGCTTCAAAGTCGCTCGTCGCTTGCGCAATCATGCTCGTCATCTCCTGGATGCGCTCGACCTCCGTGGGCGTGTACAGCACCGCCACGGACTTTTGCTGCACGAGCTGATTGATCGTCGAAGTCAGTTGTCGCGTGCTCGGCATCTTCTTGCGCCACGACTGCATCGTCGCGTCCATCTTCCTGTCGGTCCAAAAAAGCGCCACTCCGAACGTCCTGGCGCTGCGCACGTGCACGATCGCGGTGACAGACGGGCAAGCGCGTGCTCTGATTGGTAGAAACGAAACGCACCTACGTGCTCTAATTGGTGAAAACCAAACCCAAAAAGCAGGACGCGTGCCGACAAAAACGTCTGCGACGTTTCTAAACCGAGCGCTTTTGCCAATCAAAACGCATGGCATGACCAACATTCTCGAGCGTCGAGGTCCGTCGCTTTCTATCCTCCAAACAAACGGTTTTTTTTATCTAAAAAGCAAATTCACAAACCGCACCGACTCTCAAAGTTGATCATCAGTCGTGCACCTCGTGCCAAAGTAGATCACGCCGTCGTCGTCGTCGGGTCCCGCTCGTCCTTGTGCAGCGGCAATGGAGCGACAGCAGCAGAGCGGCGAGGCCGACGAGCACCTCCGGGAGCTGTTCCGCACGACGTACGCGCACTTTCTGTCGCAGGGTCTTTCGCCTAACGACGCGGTCGCGCGCGCGCTGGTGGCGATGCAGCAGCTGTCGACTGAGAAGGCGGACGATGGCGCGGGTAGGGGAACGACCGATGGGGTTTCGCTCCGTGACGATGTGGCGATGGAAGACGCGTCACGACTGCATGAACCTGACGTGAACTTGGAGACGGAGACGGAGGACGTTGTCCCTGCTGGCTCGCCTGCTGTGTTACCCACGAGTGTAGGTGAACTCCCGTTAAGTACGAATTCGGTTGCTGTACCGGTACCACCACGCTCGTTGACGCATGCGACATGTAAAGACGGCGAAGAGTTGACTGCAATGGGTTTGACGTGTAGCACGGGGACGCAGCTGGAGCAGGCGCTGACGCTCGCGACGGACATGGGCGACTATCGTGTCGTGAAGAGACTGGTGTATGAGATATTCTCCGATCCAGAGGTGCTAAGTGCAGCTTTTGTGGAGGAAAAAGCAGGAGTGGAAGAGGACGAGGAGGCACGAGCGCCGTGGTGGCGCGTTGACTGGACGCAGATGACGCGGGTGTTTGCACTGCTGAATGTTGCAATGACGGGCAGCGACCAGGAAGCGGTGCAAAACACGTTTCGGAACGCACTGGAGATGTTGGTGACACAGCCGTGGAACGTCTGCTCAACGTGGCACACGCCGCGCGCACTGCGTTTTTTTCTCGTGTTGTTTGAACATCCGTTGATGTTTGATCCGAGCTACTTGAACGTCGTGGGTGGATTGTGTCGACTGTTTTTCTATTTGCCAGAAGACGCGAAAGCGCTTGTGCGCGTGCAATGGACGACGTTCTACTCGGCAGATAGATTGCATCGACTTTTGGATATATTGCAGCAGGCAATCACAGTGTGTCTCTATGGTTCGCGGAAAATGGATCTTGTGTATGCAGCATGCGGCGTTCTGGCCCAGCTCCAGATTGTAAATCGTGAGCGGGCAGATAACGGTGAGCCGTTTGCCACGTACGATGAGTTTTACAATGAAGCCGTGAATTCAGAGGTGGATATTGTGGATGATTACTCGCGTTCGGTCATCTTTTGGAAGAAACGACATAGTGCCGCTCATGCTGCGCGTCGTTTGGAGCGAAGAGAGCTGCGACATCGTGGACAGCAGAATGAAGAGGATACCGAGACTGAGCGCGACCGTGAAGAGCAAGAGCGAGAACAAGAAGAAGAAAGGCAAAACGCTGAGCCCATGCCGGAGCGCATGCTCTCGGAAATGTCGTTTTGCGATTTTCCATTCGTGTTGGATGCAGCTTCGAAGAGTAAAGTGCTGCAAATCGACTCGGACCTCGAGCAGCGAGCCCGTGCTCAAGATGCAGTGTACACACGCTCGATTTCGTTAACTGAGAGTGCTTTGTCACCTTACTTGGTACTAAAAGTGCGGCGTGAAAATATTGTGGAAGATGCAATGCGGCAGCTGGTGCGTTTATCGTCATCAGCAGAGACACTGAAAAAGTCACTGAAGGTCAAGTTTGTCGGCGAAGAAGGCATCGATGAAGGTGGTGTGCAAAAAGAGTTTTTCCAGATACTGATCCGACAGCTTCTGGATCCTTCCTACGGCATGTTTACGTATGATGAGGAGACACGTATGTTATGGTTCAACAGCGATTCGCTGGAAGCCACGATGGAGTTTGAGCTCATTGGCACCTTGCTGGGTCTCGCCATCTACAATGCTGTTATTCTGGACGTCAACTTTCCCCACATCGTGTACAAGAAAGTAATGGGCTGCACGCTTGGGCTAGAGGATCTAGAGCTAGCAATGCCTGACCTCGGTCGTGGTTTACGGCAGCTGTTGAACTTCCAGGGTGACGTCGAGGAAGTTTTCCAGCGAAGTTTTGAGTTCTCGCACGAAGTGTTCGGCGAGGTCAAGACGGTGGAGTTGAAGCCAGGAGGTAGTCTGATTCCAGTGACTAGCGACAATCGTGATGAATACGTTGCGTTGTACGTCGACTATGTGCTGAACAGGTCGGTTTGTCGTCAGTACGCTGCCTTTCACCACGGCTTTCACCAGGTTTGCAACCATGAGGTTCTGAGCATGTTCCGGTGGGAGGAGTTGCAGCTACTTATTTGTGGTAATAGCGACCTGGACTTTGAAGCACTGGAGGAAGCTACTCATTACGAGGATGGCTTCGCTGCAAACAGCAGGCTTATTCGGTACGTTGCTATGAGGGTGCAGCTTTTCTGCGTGGTTTTGACGGTCCAAATGTGTCCGTGCAAGGGATTTCTGGATCGTCGTGCACGCGCTGCCGCTGGAGGACAAGAAAAAGCTATTGCGGTTTGCGACAGGCAGTGACCGCGTGCCCATCAGGGGTCTTTCGACTCTTGTGTTTGTAATTTCACGCAACGGGCCGGACTCGGATCGTCTTCCCACAGCTCACACCTGGTGAGACGATATACTGTTGAAGTTGTTTGTGAGGTTCGAATGCAACAGCTAACACACGTTTGCATATCGAACAGCTACAACCACCTTTTGCTGCCAGAGTACAGCAGTCGCGAGAAGCTCAAAGATCGTCTGCTGATAGCAATCAGTGAGGCCGAAGGCTTCGGGCTGCGATGAGTCGAGAATCGAAATTGTAGAAAAGCCGTCACTAGACTTTGACAGATTCGTCGATCCACACAAGGATGGAGATGGAGTGTACGTACGTACCTCTCTCCGTATATACCACATGCGCGCGTCAAATGGGAAGTCTATGATACTCAAAACCTTCCTGTTACAATATAAGTGTTACGTTGTTGTGGCCTGTCGCCAAACAACCGACGGTTCTTGTCCAACTCGTTTGCCACGAACCGATTCCTACACGCATGTGTAATCATGGGCAGCTACAAACCCGCGCCGACGACGGCAACGCCAGGTGCTTGATAAGTCTATGGCTCCTATCGTACACGCTGCTATCTCGCCGCCCTGCCGCGCTAGAACTTGTGGTAAGGCTCCTCGATCTTCTCCACCATTTGGTCGTACAACTTGCAAGCTCCCGCCTGTTTCTCCGCCATAAGTCGATTGAGCATGGGCTTCCACTTTCTCCCGCGAGTATTGATGAACCAGTTGTTGACCTGCTCCAACGTGATGCCCCCTCTTCGAGCAAGCCAATCCTTCTCCTCTTCGGTCGGATACGGATGGTGCAAGTTGTGTTCAAACCAGTCGTGCATCAACTTCTTGGATACTTTCGAGAGACTCGAGCGTTTCTTCGGCAAATTATTACGAGCCGCGAGCTCCATAGCATACGGTGAGATCCCCGCCAGCGACATTGGCAACGAGCTGCCCCCCGTAGCTGCACTTGCCGAACTCGGTGGGGATTGCAGCTGCTGTTGCTGCACCATGCGTCGTTCACCCCATTCGTGCAGCTGGTGAGCTGCATGCTCGTAGCGAGCACCGACCGTTGGGTCCTTCACCACTTCACTTGCTGCACGGGCCATGGTCTGCAACGACCAGTCTGCTTCCATGTACTGCACCCGACTCGGGTCACCACCAGCATCGTATCCATCGCTGGACGCACCAAGAACTGGCAAAGGTGACGGACTTGGTGGCATCTGCTCAATCACTGCATCAAAGGGATCACCTGCAATCGACCCAACGTCCAGAACCGAATTGTTGGCCAGCATGAGCAGTCCTTGGAAACTCCCGCTCTCCTGGAACACCTGGTCGTCCAGCAATTGCGTGCGGCAGTGCCCCACGTACGCCAAACTCTCTTCCGAGGTCGGAATCGACTGCATCGCCATCGCTCCTTCATGTCCAGGAGCCAGCGACTTCAGCATCTCCTTTAGCTCCCGCTGCATCGGCTCTGGATCGCTCCCGTCCATTGGCTTTTCCCCTTGTACTCGACGTGGTAGTGCTCCGGGTATCATCGTCACGGCCACTTTCGTATCCGAGTAAACACGTCGTTGCTGCCCTGGAACGTAACCAGGTCGATTTGGGAGCGTCATGAGGCCGAGAAGTAGCCAAGACAGGGCAAGACAACAAGTGACTTGACGCTAGAGTGGCAGAGTGAAGCGTCTACGACAAGTGGTGCCGCCATTCTCACAGCTGGAGTCAGTGACTAGTACGACGATTGATGGGGAGCGACTCGATTTGACTGGACTGGAGTTGTAGCTTTACCTTGAAAACCCGTCGCTCAAGTTTTGGACCCGTGAAGTAGTCGAAAGAAAGAACGAGAGAGAGAGAAAAACAAGAGTCGTTTACCGGTTGCGATATCCAGCACCATAACCGGTATGTCGTCGCATCCGATTTCAAGTGTACCGCTTTTCCGGTACATTTGCCTGCCATGCACCTCGACAAGTCGACGCCGGCGGCCGTCGCGCCGTCCACGGCGTACGTTGCCATGCTGCCGTACGCCTATACGACGAACGACGTCGCGCAGCTGTTTGCGCCGTTCGGAAAGCTCGCGCGCGTGCTCGTGCTTCGGGACAAGCAGTCGCGTCGCAGTCGGGGCGTCGCTTTTGTGCAGTTTGCCCGAGCCAGTGACTGTGTTAAAGCTGTAGCCATTATGGACCAGAAACTAGTAGAAGGGATGACGCTGCACGTGTCGCTGAGTCGGGACAATGGAAGGTCGGACGAGTTCAAGAAGAAGCGCAAGTACACGACGGCCAAGCGCTGCTTCGAGTGCGGCGAGTTCGGGCACGTGTCGTACGAGTGTCCACGTAATGTATTGGGCCGTAGGGAGCGACCTGTGACGACGACTAGTGGACACAAGAGCAGCAGGCAGAAGCTCAAGAAGAAGAAGAAGATGTCAGATTCGCATGAACTCGGGAGCTGTCGCAACGACCAGGAGGTCACGGACATGCTGTACGCTTGGAAGAGGTGGTGGTGATGTGATTTTATAGGCGTTGACGTTGACGTTGTTTGTGCTGGTCGTTTGCAGGACGCCATCTACAGACCTGGATGATGCAGATGTGTCGATCTCGCTGCTCGCGTACCCATCTGCAGCTCCTTCATCTTCAGCAGTCGAAACAAGGAGAACGACATCTGTAGCTTGTGCATCTGCGCGATGGCGGCCGCAACGAAAACGTGGTGGTTATTTCAGTGACGAAGACGCGAGCGACACCGAGTGAGTTAATATTGCAGCCACGACTTGCACAAGGTGGACGGACAGTAAGTAACCAAAGCTTATCAGCTTATCACCCTGATGCATGTTGCAGTGCTTCTATTTCCGCTGACGCTTGCTGCTGCTGCTAGGACGTCGGCCGCCGCTGTTGTCTTTGCCACAGCGACGCCCCAGTCCCGTGTACTTGAGCATGCGAGCTGTCATCTCCTCGGCCGAGATCTCTTCCCGGAGCTCCGTCTCCTCCGACGCTTTGAAGCGCAGCGCTCTCGCTGCTTCCTTCAGCTCATCCTCAACACCCTTGTTAAAGGCGTTGAAGGAGCGACGGCCGAACAGCAGCGGCAAGGACGGGTCTGGCACGTCTCGCGTGCAGATGATCCTGGAGCCGTCGTCAGGACTCTGGCCATCGTCGTTGGTCACGGCTACCCACGTATCCTGTATATGCTGTTCCTGCACCGCTTCGATACGCTGCGCTTCGGTCTTTTTCTTACGCTGCATAAACTGTTTACAGCAATAGAAATTGTCAATTTAACCTGAGGTTGGTATGGTGCATTTAGAAACGAGGTTAAGTGCCTTCATGGCCAGTGTCTTCTGCGAAAGCACAAACTTGGCCGGCGTCTTCGTTGCTCTATGCACTGGCATGCTGTCGTTCTTTGAAGTAGCAGAAGGTTCCTTGCTGCTGCTGGCGTTGTGCGTCTCTTGCTTTGGCCGGTCACTGCCGGGCTTCCACATTGCCATTCGTGACGAATGAACAGGTTGCGCTTCAGGTGGAGGAATAGAACCCGCGAAAGATGCTGCGTCGTTTTGGTCGAATGGAGCAGCCTTTTTGAGTCAATTTGGGTCGAGAACCAAAACGACCTGGAAATAGTCCTGTTGTGTCAGGATGCAAAAAGACGAAACGCTTGGCTGCTGGTTGATGATGCTGTGTGGTACATGATAGAAATGGCGTTCATCCCTGGGAGAATGGTACAGAACTGAACCACGCACGCGTGAGTATGTCTCGTTTAAGTAGACATGTCTGACAAGCGTCGATTCACGAGATTAATTAGAGCAGAAATAGCCAAAAGTATACCGCGGTTTACAGTGCGCTAAATGTAATCAGGTACTTTTCATTGCCGACGTATTACCACACTGTCGGTCACTCGAAGTAACGCTCGAACTGGCGTTTTGCCAGGTGGTGACGACCATCCTCTGTCCGCCTCTGACTTGTCAGATCTACACTTGCTAGCTAGGGCTGAACGCCACTGATCATTCAAATCAGGTCAGGTGAGAAGGCTGCACATGGTTGTGTGGGCGTCAACAGAGTTGCTACAAGCACTTCCAGAGACGTCCTTGTCGCATCCACTGCTTCGTGTTCGATTGCATTGCACTACTCTGATCGCACGAAGTCTTGCGCACGACCCGATCGTCTGATGGTCGTTAACGAATGCAATGGAAGCGACTGCTTACGCTCAAAGCGTGCGTCGTTTGTCTTGCGTCTATCGCTGTGCAAATGAAGCATACACGTGAGATAGCTGGACGTTCCTTTACTAGCACACCGCAAACCCGTATCGAGCTGCATCTCCGTCTTGTCATCTGCTGTAACATGTCTGCAAACACATGCGAAAGCTGTTTTGGACTGGGCAGGTATCAACGGACGTGTCCAGCCACAAGATGACAGACAGCAGGCACACGTCATAGTCTACCATTTCACGTAACGTCACCACGTCGACTGGACGTCTTTGACATTCTCCTGCACGGACGCGTACTGAGATTAAATGTAGTCACAGGACTTTCACTACAACAAATGGCGGGTTGCTGAGAAGAAGAGGTGGGAAAAAGAGCGGGACTGCGGCAGCTGACGAGGCAAGACCCTGTATCTGCGATCGCTAGTCACTACTGAATAATGCTCGATGCTGGCACGAAGTCGACCCGTCTTTCGGTCGTCAAAACTGTCGATAAGGCAACTGACTGACGAGGTTTACCGTACACACCTCTACGTAGATGTAGCCAGCCTCCTCTCCTTCGCAGTTGCTGGCATTCGTCCAGCATCTAACAGTCTCAATACCGACCATTGTTCCCCTTATTTATGACCAAAGTATGTAATCCTACCTACTTTTGCACATGCTTGTGGCAACGTGACGACAAAACTGGCCTGCGCACTCCGTCTCCACAACCAGTTGGCTCCCGGCACGTCTCTTTTCCCTACTTTTGCAGTGTTACTTCACGTCGTCGTGTCCTGACGGTCGCCTTCTTTCAAGTGGTCCACACCGCCACACGCCACACACTCGAGACGTCGGACTGCAAAACCCAAAGAAGAGCGCGTGAGCACGAGGCTAAACGCAGCGCTCGCTTCGTCCCCTCTCTCCATCCCCCCTCTCTCCATCCCCCTCTCTCTCCCTCTCTCTCTCTCTCTATCTTTTACCTGCTCTAAAGAACCCCCTTATACCACCCACCCGCTCTATCGAGAACGCCCGTGGCTGCTCTTGCTCAGTGTGGCGTACACTAAATAATCAACAACCCAGTTTAACATTTAGTCATGACGGTCGAAGTCGAGGCTTCGGACGCGGCGATGGCGTCGCCCACGAGCTCCAGCGGCACGGGCGTCGAGTCTCTGCGTCTATCGGAGATCGAGAGCGCGCACTTGTGTCCAGCTGGACGCATGAAGATGGAGGAGCTCTTCCGTCAGTGGCTCAATGTGGACGGCACGAAAGAGATGATCCAGAACATGGTGGCGGACCTGCGACAGGGCAAAGAGCTGAATCTGGAGACGCTATTAGCGACGGTCACGTCGACGGGAAGTGGTGGACTCGACTCGCCCTTGTGCAGCCCGAAACGACCGCCTAATTACCAGCAGCTGGGACTGCTGAATCCAGGAGCTAGTGGCAGTCCCAGTGCTCGTAGACGCCACCAACATCTTGTCAGTCTGTTTGGGGACGAGCTCCATAATGTTGCTGCAGTGATGGCAGCTACAGCAGCAGAGACAGATGCAGGTACTAAGGATGACAAAAACACAGCAGCTGCGGTGACGCTGCCATTGCAATCTGATGATGTCGACATGACTGCAGACGAAGAGGACTTGTCTAGTGGAAATGGTGATGGAGAAAGTGTGGAGGAGACGCCAGTAGAGAACCAGGAGGATTCTGATGAAGCTACGGCTGTGGCACCTTTGGTGGATGTGGACGAAAAGATGGAGGATGAACAGGAGCCACCGGCGATGGATACAGCTGCAAACAATGAAGAGCTTGCAGTAAGTGAACCCGATCATCCGGTGGCTGAAGAGGTGTTGAAGCAGGTCCAGATTCCTAGGTTCTATACGCCAGGTGAAGGTCGACGCGGTCGACTGCGTGGTTTGTCTACTGATGCGATGGCACGCAAGATATCGGACATTGAAGCACGGTTTTGTGAGTTTCCAGAAGGCATGAAAGTGGAGGATTTCGTGGCTATCACGAAAGATCTTTGTGGCTTCCCTTCGTTTTTCAATGCGCCGTTTTTTCGACGTATTCTAGCCACTAGTAGTGGCGATGCAGGAGAGACGACGCTGAAGTCTCCTTCTAGTCCTGCTGCAGCAGAAGATGCATCGAGCCCCACGAGCGCGGATAGCAGTGCAGCACTTCAGCGTATTACAAAATCCGTGTTTTTAAATTACTGGATGCGCGAGATGGCTCCATGTGATAGTGTGGAGCGCTTTTTTAGAGTAGTACGTGGTCATGAGAGCAGTGGCAGTTATGGAGAATACAACGTGACTGCAAACTCACGCTTGCCGCTGTATGCCGACAGGTAAAGCAACCGAAGAACGACTTCATAGAGAGAGACGACTTCGCGCCTTTCTTGCATGGTGCGACTGAGTGCTCGATGGTTGTTCTACGCTTTCTGCTTCCCTTACTGACAGTTTTGTCGACAGAACTGCTGAAGTACCATCCTGGTTTAGAGTTTCTTGGGAGCACTCCCGAATTTCAGGAGAAATACGGTAAACTGAATGCTGCGCTTGGTGTGACCTAAGCCGTGAGATGTTGGCAGGGCTAACGACGTGTTTTTGCGTGAATTGTGTGCAGCCTTGACCGTCGTCGTACGGATATATTACTCAGTCGATAGAGACAGCAGCGGCCGAATTACGATGCGAAAGCTTCGGCGCAGCAATCTTATCAGTGCGTTTAACACTGTGGATGAAGAAGAAGACATCAATAAGGTACGTGCCCTTGGCAGTACGAAATGTGTATGAAGTGATGCTTACAATTGCGTCGAACGTCGATTGCAGGTGAATTCGTATTTTTCGTACGAGCACTTCTACGTTTTGTATTGCAAATTTTGGGAGTTGGATACGGACCACGATTTCCTCCTGAGCTTAGACGACCTCGTACGGTATGGGGGCCACGCCCTTACACGTATCATCGTGGACCGGATCTTTGAACGCGGCCGGCGTCCTTTTGCTCGCGTCCAGACGCTGACTGCTGAAGAAAAGAAAAAGATGAGCTACGAGGACTTCATTTGTGAGTGACGTGGTAGTGACAACTTTTGAATAGCCATGGCTGACGATTTGTTCGTCAAATGTCGTAGACTTCATGCTCTCGGAGGAAGATAAGTCGAACCCAGTCAGTCTTAGGTACTGGTTTGAGCTCATCGACACAAACGAAGACGGCGTGCTGCGTGCCGACGAGATGCGTGTCTTCTATCGTCACCAGATACACCGCATGGAATGCCTTGGTCATGAAGTGGTGCCGTTTGAGGACATTCTTTGTCAGATGTCGGACTTGTTGCATCCTGGACAAGAGGGCGAGTTCTACCACGCAGATTTTGTCCGTCCAGACAAGATCCGCGTATCGGGTGTGTTTTTCAACGTGCTGTTCAACCTGAGCAAGTTCATTGAGTTTGAGCAGCGAGACCCGTTTTTGCTACGTCAGCAGATTGCTGAACCAGAGCTTACGTACGTGGTGCTTATGCATCGGCATTGGACCCATTTGGATGTTGCTGCTTACTTTGTTGCTGTAATAGGGACTGGGACCGCTATGCTCGTGCTGAGTATGCTCGATTGGCCATGGAGGAAGAGAGTCGCGATGAAGACACTGCAATGGATATCGACACGATGGACGGTTGGTATGTGTCCGACGAACAGGAGGAAGAGGCTTTGGAGGGCCGCAGTGCCGGCACGGACGGTGTTGCAGGTAGCAGTGAAGGCCGGACTGTCGAAGCTCCTTTTTGACCTGTTCGACGATTGCCTGATCCAACCTGCAGGGTAGACGACGGTCCCAGCCAGCAAGTCCAGTACTAGACAACGGACGACGGGGTCGATGCTGGTAGCAAAAGCACGAAGAGCCAGCGAGCAGAAGAGTACACGGAAGTAGCAGTAGAGCAGCAGCAGTGGGCGAGCAGTTCGCACAAGTTCTGTCAGTCAAGGGAGACGGGACTCAAAGATTGAATGAAGTAGCTGTCGACGTATCTCTTCCAGTGGTTACTACAACTGCTGCTACTTCTGGCAACGCTGCTGGTCATGTGCTGCTACTTTTGGCAACAGCTTCGTGTGCTTTTCGCAGTTGGTTCACGCGGTCGTTGCACTGCTTGAGCTTCTTCACCTGCTTTTGGCACTTGCGCCAGTCGCGGTCAAAGTCCGCGAGACAGTCTTCGAGTTTGTAATAGTCTTCGTGGCAGCGGTTGCGCTCAATGAGCTCGTCCACGTCGAGATCCTCCCCAAAGTCGCTCTTGCTGCCGGCGTGGAGACCCGGGACTGGCACTGGCGGCGTGGAAGACGCGCTGCTCATGGCGAGTGAACGGAGCGAACTGTCCTGTGAGACACTAGATTAATGTATGGAACGCTTTGACGGGTTTTTTTGGAGATTGAATTCGCAGGTCCGGTTGTTGTGTGACATGGGTGGCAATGAGTGTTGATTGGACCCTTCTTTCGATCGTGGTAGTTTTGGGTTTTATTCAGAAAGCACGGCTTTTGTGGTGTTTGTTCTCGCCAGCGTCGGTGCCTTTTTTCTCGCGCTCATTTCTCTCTTCGATTTAGATATTGCATGGCCGTTTTGTTTATGTCTGTATAGAGGGAATGACTATTTGGAGTCACGCGTGAAGGTATGTTTGCTCTCTAATAGAGGAGTGAGTGACGAAAGCACTGGACACTTGTATGGCCTAACGCGCACACAGAGTCCCGTAATGTTTTCTTGTGTTACTACTGATGTACAAGCACGTGGAAAGTATCACAAAATGATCGACAGTGCATTCATTTGCACTTGTGACGGACGTCGAGAGACCTGTAATTGCTTCAAGGAATAGTTCTCGCGGTGTTTTCCACGTAGTTGGACCTGTTGGCTCTGCCAACTGATAAAAGACAAACGATGGACGAGTATTCGCCGACAGTGTAGACCGATGTAGCAACAGCAACAGCTTCTTTATTGATCTCACCAGATATCCGACTATAGCTACCTGTTGTTTTGCGGCCAAGGATTGAACGACGCCACTTGTCAAAATGTCATGCACCTCATGCAACCGACGATCGCATTGCAGTGTCTGGAACCCGGCCGATGTTTGGCCTGCTCCTAGGTGTATCATATGCTGAGAGAATCTTCGCCCGCTCTTCCTCGGTGGGACCCACCGACGCAGTTTATTCGAGTCGGGATCAAGTCCGCAGAAACAGCGACAGCAACGGGGCAACACGCATGGCTTAATTTTTGCTACCACCCTGTCACGTTTCGCTGGACAGCCAATCGGCCAGTCTGCTGCTTCTTCCTTGGCTCTACATACGTCCTCTCTCATGGAAAATCGCCCAACAAGCGTCACTGAAGCCAGCCAGATTTTGTCAGCAAAATGTCTATGAAAGGACAACGAGAGAGGTTCAGATTCCATGTAGAGATGGGTAGTTCATTCAAAGCACAATCTGTAACATGTCTCTAGTCAGGATGTAAGCAAGCGCCTGTGAACCGGAGGACGTATCCTTGCTGGTCACTGGTGCTTGGTCGTAGCCTCCAGCCACCTCGATGCGTGCGTAATGCACGGCGCCATTTGCAATGGATGCTTAGTCTATACTTGACACAGCCATGAAAGCTAACAACCATTAGTGCGGTGTTGTGGAGATTGACCACGGCTTCTCATCGAACAGCTACGTTCTTGTCTACACAAACGTTCGTTCGGCATATCGTTGCAAGAACGTGCCAAATGCTCGTTCTAGCGCGTATCTACTGCCCGCGGTGTTAGTTCTTGGAACGAAGCAGCTACTTTCGCTTCGCCCAGCGAGCCGTTGACTGCCTTTGCTGCAGACTTCTTTGCGCGTGAGACAAAGCACGACGAAGTGATGGCAGAAGAGTCGCCTCGAGGTAATTAGGTCAAGCGCCTGTTCCTACGCGGTCCTTGGGCAGCCGCTCGCTGCTGTTTACGCTCGGGAATCTACCACGTGTGCCAAGAGCTCCGCACTCGAGTCGAGACGAGGCGAACATGGACACCTGGTGGCTCATTTGTTTACGATTGCTGGTCGTTTCGATGAGCAAGCACTTGTGTTGTGTGCTCGTTGTTACCTCGTCGAGACTTGGCATTCTTGAATCAGCCTGGCCGTCATCACCTTCATTCATCGTGAACACGTCTCTGGCAAGTCAGTCCGTCAGTCAGTCAGTCGGTCAGTCGGTCGGTTAGTGAATTGGCTCACTTGCCAATGTACGCCCTGGCCCGGAACGATGTGAGAGACGTCGAACGTCGCCGCAAACAGCGCGATCTGAAGCGGCTATACCGCGAACGTTGCAGAGTACGCATTCTCAACTGTAGTGCTATGTGTCACGAATGCACTGAGCTGACGTTCTCTTTCTCACTGCTTGGATCAGAACGACGTGCGGGCCATGCAGATGCAGGTGGCTCAGCTCGAGCTTATGTACGACGTGCTGCTGGGCGCCCACCAAGACACGGCCATACCGTCGCGTCGTGCGCTATCTTCACTCAGGCAGCAATACACAGTAGCCACTGAAGAGCTCAAAGTGTTGCGGCTTGAGATTGCAGTGGCTAAGCAAAAGCTGGTCCGGTTCGGCAGGTTCGCGTCGTCTCTTACAGTGTATTTGGCAGATTTTGACACGGCGCCCGTCATCGCCGCTGCAGCGCCGACTCTGAATACTTCCGCGGTGTTGGGGCCTGTTGTTACCGAAACGCGTGCACGATTGACATTGGAAGAGTGTAAGGAGGTGATCAAGAAGTGTTACTACGAGATCTGTGCCCGGCGGTTTCATGGAAAGAGCTTGAGCTCAGGCATGCACATACTTGGCTGGGAGGACCAAATGTACCTTGACGGCACGACGGTTCAGTTTGCGGTAACGAAGCGGATTACTGGCATGTCAGCAGACACGCTCATGCACAAGACGTGGGACATTTTGACCACTGCACAGCACATGCGCACGATCCAGTACTCAACAATCGGCCTGAAGGTGCTACACAAGATCAGCGAGGATGCATTGGTGCTTCAGCGCTGCGTGCACCATCCGCAGCTAAACACTGTTACTTGGAACAATATGGTCATGTTTCGACTACGTTGTCCTCGCGGATATGTGGTGGCATACCAGGCTATCGATCACCCAGCCTACGCCGAGGTGCACACGGAGTCTTTTCACGGGCTCGAGTCTCTCTGGGACCAATACTCACGGCCCAAATTGTCCTGTGTCAATACTTTCCAGTGGGTCCTTTTCGAGGAAGACGAGAATTTCAGCTTCGACATGAACAGCGAGGGCTTTGATTTTGAACTGCTGGACATTAATGGCCGCACTGACTTCTCGTCCGACTTCAAAACGGAAGTCCCGAGAAGGAGAGGAAGGAGTGTCGCACCAGAAGAGTTCAAAGAATCACCGCAATCCACGTTTGGTATCAAAGTATCATATGGGGGCAGAGTGGACAACCAAGACGCGTCCTATGCTCGTTTTTACATGTTCGAAGTTCTTACGTACATGATCCGCTGGGAGAATGCCGTTGGATCGACGCAGCTTACGTTTTAGACGAAGATTCGTTTCGAACGTGGCTCGATGCAGCACCATAGGATAACGTAGTAATAGTATCTATCTGGACGGATAATTTGTTGAGTCGGGAAAAGTAGCGTTCGAGCGCAACTCAAGGGTCAATTTGGATGCTGCGTGTGTGTTACAAATGTCGAGTTGAAGGTCGCAGAGAAAACACGAAGCAACTCGATAACTTCTTAGGATACATCGACCAGGAGCAGACAGCACGTTGGCGTTGACCTTTACAGTCCTGAATAACATCTGCGATGATTGTCACATTCCCAATGATGCGCTGTTTTCTCTTCCTCTTCTGCCTTTTAGTCACCTTCCAGGATTCCGTCTATGGTCAGCTCCGACTCAGCGCTATTGTTATCTTCAACGATTACGGACCTTCCGTCGGAATGGGATATCAAGGACCTTCCGTCGGAATGGGATTCCGAGTGCTCAGATGTTCGAGCTTAGCTCCTAGCTTGTGTTCTAGATCATTGTAACATGATGAGCCCGTTACATGACTTGACATCAGTTTAGATATCACTGTGGATATTATTACAATAGATTGTATTCAGCAGTCATCGAGAGAGCCGATTGAGCCACACACCCATTTCGGTGTCGCCGCACCATGAAAGTAAATTAGGCAAACGGTAGAGCCACGTACCCATACGGGTATGTGTGTACACGGTCGCCCAATCTAAAGAAGCGATTAGTGTATCTGGGTACTAACTTCTTGGTCACTGGACCTCATATTATGAGGATGTTTACACTGGATCCCTACGAAGGTGTGGCTTGCCTGTTAATTGTGAAGGAATAAGATAGGGGAGCAAGCTCTAGATATCGCCCTTCAATTAAAGTAATTTAGTCCTTTAAACTGAATCAAGTTCGGTGTATTCACACACCCATTTCAAGAGATCCAACAGCGAGAAATGGGTTGTGGTGTGTGTGTTTTTTAGTAAGAGTGCTGATGGATTATGTGTAAAAAGATGCTCGTTGATGCTGCTGATGAAAGAACGATGATGATCCTGCTTCGTGACGCTTGACTAAAAATGTCGTCACACAGTCAACTAATGATAAGAGGGGAATGAGATGAAGCTTGATATGCTACTGAGAGAAACTGCGACCAATACATCTTATTATTGATGTATACTAAGTAATCGAGATCAGAACAACTCAACAATTACTGTTTGCGAAAGGTAAGAGACTTCCGCTGCCCCTGAGTGTCTAGTATTCGCTTGCTAGCCCTCTTTCCGCCCTTGGTCACGTTCGAGCTAATCACGCGAGGCATTAATGCGCGTATGAATATCATACATTTTGTAGTCTCAATCAGTGACTCTATTAATTAGTGACATATGGAAGGGGGTGACAGTCTCCATTGCACTTAGTACGGCATGTAAGGTGCACCAAGATTTAGTCATGGGAACAATGGGTGACAGACTACTGTGGTGTAGTAGTCAGTTAAATCTGCGATGATACAGTCTGAACGTAACGAACACAGCAATCACCGAGCATGTCGGTGCAGTAGGGATAGTACTTGGGGACAATCCTTGTGCGGTTCGCCCCTTCGGATTCAGTTGTGGCATTCGCCCTCGCTGATTACCCACAATGTAACGAGGCACCGGTCGCTTGTATTGTCACAGTACAAGATACTCACACTGAACACAGAGTAAGGTGGTGCATCGAGACTTCACGTACACGCGTCGTGCAGAGGAAGGTTTCAACACGTGAAAATGGTAAGAGTAGAACTGTATTAAGTATATTTAATCTACTGTCGATAGATCCCGTTTAGCCTTTACTTAACTCTATCGAAGTTTAATAGGTATAGTAACTATTTGCTCACCACCTCATCGCGTTCTTCTTTCGTGGATCGGCTTAATTGGTAGACATCGGTAATTCATGTCAATTAATAAACAGTGTATTACTTCTGCAACACAGTGCTACTTCTTTAGTCAATATTGTGAGAATCTTCTGTTTTTTCTAACAGAATATTCGTACTTGACATTTACCTTGTGTAAACTTCCATGTTACGGACGCACCGCCTTACATCCCCCCAACCATCAGTCACATTAGCGACTGATAAATGAGTGACTATTATGAGTGACGATGGTAAAGGGAAACACATGTTGATCAATTTCGATCCATCCTTCGTTCCCTCGGACATTGAACACGTCCATGCGGTATGCAGCAAAATCTGCTGGAAAAGCAGCGATGAGACCACGATCCGCTGCAAAGAATGAGGCAAAGGCCGTGAACGCAGCGACAACGTGACTGCTGCTTCGTCTAGTGCAGACTCACGCGTTGATGCGTCGCGTGGCCTCAAATATTAATACCTCGAGCTGATATACTCTGGCAAGTCGGATGACGGCACCGACTCGACGAAGGCTATCAATAAGACAGAGCCGGAAGCGGCGGCGATGACAGAGCCGAGTCGGTCGGTCTCGCAAAGTGCCATGAGCCTCGCTGAGCGTCGTGACAAGTTCGGATCGTCCGAAGAGTCGGACGCTTCGTCGCCAAGGCGGTGGGACAAGCCAGTCTAACTGCGGTGACGGTGATGCAGTAATGCGTCACGATCAAGAATAATCTACTGGAAGTAGTGTCGGAACTTCGATTGAGTTACATGCAACAATCTGGAGATCGCAACGTATTGGACGTTGATCCAGAGATGAAAGCGTGGTTGCCTTCTCAGAGAGTATAAGACAGCTCGTCCGACACGATAAGCGATCGTTATCGAAAAAAGCTTTCCGATTCATCTAGGATTCATGGCCTTGACTCTAGTGCGATTTACTTTCGCATTGAGAATGATTTCTACACGGATGTATTATTCAAACACCTGTGGTACAGCGGGAACCATAGACGTAATGGTGCCTCGCCCATCCAGGCATTGAACGTATTCATTTACAACGTTGGAGATATTGGGGGCGAGGCCTGGCTTGACAATCTGACTCTATTTCGTATCATTTTTGATAAGCGGACTTACAGCGGTGCGCATTTCAAAACCTATTTTTATCGAGAGAGGCCGATTTACCATGCCTATACCGGGGTGATGCCTGCCAAGGTTGTGCTAACAACTTAAATGGGGCTCCGAAAGAAGCTTATGCAATGACCGATCCCTGTTGGAAGGCTCACATCTCGGTGGAGATGCATAAGGTATCAGCTAATTTGCAATCCCTCTACAACGCTCTGGGCGTTCGTTCTCGGATAATCCTTCTTCGGCACCGGAAGTGCCTTGTCACACTTCTCTACAAGGTCCAATACGTCTACCATCAGTTGCGATCGAGGTTCGCAACTATGCGCTGATGGAAGATAGCCGCGCCGCGGACGATGTAAATGGTCCGACGTCATTTTATATCGCAGTGGTTCAACAGTTGTTCTACGAGAAAGCGTTGACCACTGCGAATATCAAGCAATGAATGAGGTGAAGGAGGGAACACATCCTTCGATGGATTGAAGGTGCCAATCTGTTGCTGTGAGTCAGCTCTTCCGCGTAACGTGTGCATTGCGTGGGACCTGGAGCACGAGAGGAGCAGACGTTTAATTAATCTAGGTTATGTGAACCGTCTGAGCTTAAATTGGGAGAAGGGAAAGGCAGAGTATGCCCTTTCCCAGCTAGTAAATGAACAGGAACAGCTTTCTCTCCGCGATGATCTTAATAAAGCTCTTCAGGATATCTCTTGGCTTCGCGGGGAGATATCCGAATTTTAGACGCGGGCTGAGAGCCAGCATGGTGAGCACAAGTATCTGTTGGAAATTGTTGAGCGCAAGACATTTCTTCACCAGAATAAGGCCCGCACTGATAGTATGGCGTAAGGCGGCCAACGTAGAGCATACGATGCGTGTGCATATTACGTGGTTGTTTGACCATTAAATTATTGCTGAGGTGGCGCAGGCTACGTAACGGACGGATGAACATGGGTAGTAACTGGGTAGTAGCTTGTTAATAACCACGTTATTCATTAGGTGTCGAGTTCGGTTAACTTTAGCTAGTAAGACTAAGTATTAGTTTTTACATAAAGAAGCATTTACCTTCCGTTCTTGTCAGCTTTTTATTTTTGTCGATCCATTGCCTTTGCGGTATAGTCCTGTACGAAACGGGCAACCATTTCGCGAGCCAGCATGAAATCATCTACTGACTCGCTGTCTTTAGCTGCAGTGCTCTTGGAGCGTACTGCAGCAAGATCAGCTGCCGCCTCTGTGAGTGTGTCTTTTGAGGCACTAGGCGTTATCCTCCTCTAATACGTATCGTGGCCAGTAAGAGCATCTTCGCTCTTACTTTCGTCTTCTTCACCAAATCAGATGTGATCGACATCAGCGTCAAACGTGGTGACCGTATTGACAGCACGAGAAGAGTAAGAGCCGGATCGTCGATTCCCTCCCTTCAACAAAAGTCGCACTTTACAAAGGTGGGATGACACGGATAGATTACGCCATTAAAGAAAAACGGCGTGTGCGTCGACGACACATGGAGTAGACTGTTGATGGCTAACTCCATCATAGACAGAAATTCAATCCAATTAGTAGTAGAACACATATATTCTGAAGAATCTCCGCGAAGAAACGATTGACACATTCGGGATGGTCAGACGTGGACATCTTCAAGCGCATTTCTAATGCCGTTTAGACACGTAACGCCAGATATCAGCTGTGGACCGCGGCTCCCTATCGTACACGAGTTCGCGAGGCAACCCATGCAGGCGAAATACCGTGTCGATAAAAACACAGGTACAAGCCGATGGTGCACTTGGTCCAGCAACCAGGTGTATAATGCTGATCCCGTCAACAAGCTCAAACTACCAGATTTCTTGTGAGAGTCTGCGGGGAATCCAAAGACAAATTCCATCGAGAGTCCGAGTTCACACCTCTTGCAACGGATGGCAAGGTGGGTTTCATTATTTACAGAGTGTAAATTTTCCGTCAAGTATGAGCTAGAATGTCTTAGCATTATCGCTGACGCACTCTCGCACCATCCCGATTTCTAGCCGTTTGCGCGACCCGACACTGGACCGACCACT